ATATAATTTATTATATATGTATATATATATATGTATATGTGTGTATATATATATATATATATGTGCTTGATTATGTCATACCACTCTGATATTACATATTGATATTATTTATTTTACAATAAATGTCCGTTTATAAATAATGTTGCTATAGATTATAAGAAAAGTTTTTTTAAACATTGAAATCTTGTTCAACGATCTCAGCATTTTTTTTTTCTTTAAAATAACGATGCATTTTTACAGTTTTATACAAATAGATCTTTATCAATATACAACATTGACAAGGGGGAACTATATTTGCTTGTCTCTCATTCAAGTAAATCAGAAGTTGCACGATTCAAGCTGCTCTAAGTAAACGTCAAGTAATTCCAATGTATTATTTATCGTTAAATCTATACTTTCTGTTGGCTTTATATGCAATTTTAATATACTTGCTTATATGAGTGAAATTGTATATTTAATATGTATTTATCCAGATGTTCGCCAGGACATGAAGTTAAAATGTATAATACGTATAATAACGTGTAGAGATTTAATTATATCATTGTCTGATTTGAAAATATAAACGATTCTATTAGCCATTGTGCCTGTTGAATATAGGATGATGTATCACACCATCCTGTATACTCTGGTTTCGTTTATGTAGATCTGCATCTTTTTTACCTATTTTATTTAAGATTTAAGTAATTAATGTATAAATCATGATGTATACACAGCTTCATCCCTGTGCGAACAGTGGAATTTTTTGTTTAGCTTTTAGAGCTCATGTAATTGCAGGAAAAAGAATTTAAAGAACATTTATATAAATAAATATAAAAATTTTTAAGTTTCTCAAATTAAACATTTAAAATTCCTTTGGTACTTTTCTCCAAAAGATTTGTATATATACAGATTTGATTAACTGGAATCTCTACATTTAATTAAATTGTTCTATAAAAGAATAGAGAAAGAACATTGCAAAAATATTTTCATTAATACTTCAATATTTTCATTACTACTAAAAATTTTTTACACAAATATTCCTATTGAGATATTACAAAACAGATTTTAGTGACAATCGGTTTACAAAATATTAAAAAAATATACATATATATAACAAAAAAATAAATGCATGGAATAATTTTTTCTTCATTTTTTCTACAGACATTGTCTTTATCTTATTAACTTAATATAGTCTTTAGATAAAAATGGTATATGGATTTTTTTAGATGAGATCTTGTTTTAATCTAAAGAGATGCTTCAGTCGAAGAGTTTATCGTAACTGGTGGAAGAAAATATGAACGAACCTGATTATGTAGCTGTGCTATTTCAGAATCTTCTCTTTCTAAAGCCCGAATGAGCTGCGCAAATTGTACAGTACCTGCTTCGTGTGCACATAATTAATTTTTTAATTCTATTTTTATAAGATTTACTTTTAATAATACTCTTAATCTACGCACCTTCTCTTCCTTCTGGAAATCCATAATTTTTTATGATATCCATTTGAATCTGTGTTACTAGTGGAAATACAAACTGCATCATTTTCAACATCTCATTGCCGGAATTTTCCTTAGCTTCTGCAAGTTTTTGCAAGTTTTCAGGTGTATTTAGTGCTGTCAGAACGTCAGTCAGTATAGCTGAAAGAAAAAAATATTTATTTATATTTTTTATTGTATATTTATAATTATACAATTATATTTCAATCATGTTTAATATATATACATACATATATATTTATTTATATTTAAGTTATCAACGAACTCGTATAATAAACGCGTTTTGAATTATAATAATATACAATTTCTTATAACAAAAAAATTATCCTTTAGATTTCTAATTACCTTTCGCAGTTTCCAATGTAAAACCAGGAACGCTTGCCATAATTAATCAGAATATAATTATACCAGATATAGTATAACCGAGAGTAGTTTTTCTTGGGCAACGTTATCACTGCAGTTGAATTATGTATGGTAAACTGAGATCTTGCAAATTATTATTTAATATTTATTATAGTTAAATCGACATATATTTATGTGTAAAAATTTTTCATATATAATATCCAGCACTAAGAACAAACATTTTTTCCAGATTATCATACGTAATTTGACGAAATTCATTAACAGCTAATAATTGTTTCTTTCACGATACTATTGATAAAATTGCAATAGTTCGATTTATTTACATTTATTTGTAAATGACAGCCATTCGCAGACCACTTTGACATTTTCGAGATCGTCAGATAACAAGCGTAAAATGCGCCATCTTGTTGAGAATAAAATGTAGGTCTGTTCTTTTTAGTTGAACTTCTTGCAGGATGCGTTCCAATATTCACTGTCAATGTTGAAAATCTATAGCGCACGTAACGTATATTATATAACTTCAGCTGGCAGTGCTGAACGGAACGCGCCCATAGTTTATCTAGTGGCCATATTCCCAATTTACTGCCAGCATTGAAAATGCTACAATTTACATAACTATAGATTTTCAGTACTAGCAGTCAATTTTGAAACACAGCCAGTATAATTAGAGAGAAACCTGAGAGAGGCTAAGCTGGTCTTTTATCTGTTACTGTCAAAATCACCCGTCAAAATCGCTACCGCCAGTACATGCATTTTGGGAACTACGTGACTACATACATTTGAATCGTGCAAGAAGTTGAGCTAAAAAAAACATGTTTAAAGCTAGTCATACACACTTTCCGTAAACAGTAAACATAACGTAGGTTTTCGATCAATCGCGTTGCTCGATTCGATCGTCCGTAACCATAGCCATAACAATCGAGCAACTCGATTGGACGAAAACCACACTGTTATGATGCGGTCGCAATGGAAGGAATAAGGATTCCAACCTATCAGAAACCGTGTATTCCGGTGTATCCGATATCTGATAGATTAAAATCATTATTCCTTATTCCTAATTCCTTATTCCTTCTGACTGTTATTCCTTGTGACTCTACCTTTACTATTATGTGTGTGACTAGCTTAATACAACAAAGAAGAAATCTCACGTTGCCGTTATTCGACATGCTGTATGCTATTAAAATATTTCCAAAAATAAACAAGCGGACGATAATTTTTCGCATTGATTTAGATTCTAAAGAATTTAAGAGAAAGAATTTACTAGAATTTTATCAAGTATATGTATCAAGTACTTTATTATTTTCAGCATATTAGATATTACGACTCGGAGTAGTCAGAGTGTTATAGTACAGGTTAAGATAAACATCTTTAGAAATTTGAAATGGTAGCTGAAATGTAAGTTTGTTCGAGATCATTTTCTTGAGTGAATAATTTGCCCTTTTCATGTATTTAATAATTAGTGTAGTAAATATCTGTAGGACCTGGTAGAAATCTTTTTAGTCATGGGATCCAATCACGATCAAACATTTTTGCACATACTTCGTGAAGAAAAAAACATTAATAATTTTTTGGATTCTTTTTTTGGATTTTTACATAGATGGTAAGTATTAGAATGTATTAATGCTTTAAAAATAAAATTTCATTTTACATAATAAATTTTACAATACCAGCACAGACTTTTATGTCGAATCGAACTCAGAGCAAAAATTAGGCTTCCCACCAGGAATAGCAGAGGAACTTGTATTAAATACCATGTATAAGTGGAGAAACGCTACATCTTTACAAAAAATAGGATTTCCTATAATTGATAATACAAACAGCAGCAGCAGTATGTCAAATCAATTAGTTCTGATACAAAACGAGAATTGCAGACTTATACCACCAGTGGCACAGGAAATTGAAATTGATTCATGTAATGAAGCCAATAATATTAAACCATTCTCTGTACAATCTAATACAAACCATATATCGGACAGTTACAACGGAGCTGTAAGGAAAAATTATACTTGGACCCAGACTCTCAATGATTTGGATGTAATTATAAAAATACCAAAACATATAAAAGCATCTAAAGATACAATTAAAGTTGATATAAGCTCAAATGAAATCAAGATTGATGGAAAATCTTCTGTTTCATCAGCAAATTCTGAATGGGAGAACATTTTCAATGGCAAGTTTAGTTTTAAAATTCGAAGAGATGAATCTATATGGAGCATTGAACCTGGGAAACAAATTAGTGTGCGTTCATGTAAAACATTCAACCTAATTATTTAATGATATCCTCGAATGTATTTAGTATCTACTTATTCTATTTGTATTTATAGATTCATCTTGAAAAAGCTATAGAAAGATGGTGGGAAGCTTTAATTGTTGATGAACCAAAAATTGATTTAAACAAGATTGACTGTTCGAAACATTTTGACGATATGGCGCCAGAAGAACAAATGAAAGTGCAAGAATTAATGTGGAATCAGCAACAGAAAATCTTAGGCAAACCGACATCTGAACAAATTGTAATTGTCTATATCTTGTCCGATTAGCATGTGTAAAGTGTGGAATACTTATTACAATTTGTAAATAATATTGTACTTATAGAAGATGGAGGCTACCTTGAAGCAGGCATGGAATGCAAAGGGATCACCTTTTTTGGGTACGCCTTATGATCCTTCCATTTTAAAGTTAAATTAATATATTTTAATATATTTTCTGATTACAATTTATATGTACCTCAAATATAAAAAAATCAGATTATGTTTATACTACATAATATTTATATCAAAATATTTATATTGTAATAATTATACACACACACACACACACACACACACACACACACACACACACACACACACACACACATATACATATGTATATGTATATATGTATAATATATACAACAATTTTATCTAGAAATCTTTCTATTTTAGTATTCTGAAAATTTTGTCTTATATGTTTTATATATTTAATATTATGAAAATAACAACATATTTTAAAAGAAAATAATGTAAATTATTGTACTTTCGTATTTGGATATTACACTTTGAGAATAAGAATAACCTAAAATAAGTAAATTATTTTTTAATAGTGTCAATCTATTGATAATATATAAAAAAAATTTATTGTAAAGTATTTTATATTATAGAAGGAATAGCGAAAAAGCTTCCCTTTTTAGAAATAAATGCAGGTGTCTACAAAAGCAAAGAGCTGACGATCTGGATCTCGGCGATACCTTGTGAATCACGAACGATCCGAGAGTTCAGAATGCGCGGAATCCTACGCTTTTCCCTGATGTTTATGCTGACTTTATATCACAATAGTGGTGGGATCGTTCGCCACAGAGACGAGGCAGGAGCGGGTCACACAGGTACACAGCCTCGAAGAAACTGTTCTCATTTCGTTGAACGCGTTCGCAACTTTCCTAAGCTTTTACTTCGACCGATTCTAAACAGAGTTAGCGACGACCGGCATATAAAGATATATCTTTGTATTGACGAAATCCATATTACTCTAATAGCTATATTATCAAGAAACACTGCGTCCTTTCTCTTTCGTAGATACATATTTCATAGAAAATCTTAAGAAAATCCAAATGAAGCTAATGATTCGATCAGATCTTTAACAGCAGAATATGATAATAAAACTCGAGAGACAGATATAATTTTGGAGAATTCTTCCATGTTGTAGAAATCTACGTCGTATCGCGATTTGCAAAAAAAGATGTCACAATACATCGAGATTGAAACACGTTTCAATTCAAACATGTTCTTTTCAAACGTGCTAAATGTACCGCCGTGGTAATGTTGAATGATATACATCGCCACGATAATATCCTCAGGAATTCCTGCGATAAGACTCAACAATTCTTTCCTCCCGCGTCATCAGCAGCGCCAGGTGCCAGGTGCAACAGCAGCAGGTCGTGTACGTTGAGCACCGCTGCAGGTAAAACACAGGTAATATACCTGCCCGAGGCTACGAGTCCATCCCCACCTGAGGTCCGGTTCTCTCTCCTTGCTCTCTCGGCCAGCTCTCCGGCTGGCTTTCCTTCGAGGTGAGTCGGGAGTCAAGCCGTTAGTATCGTTGCCGTTGTGATTGGAATGGTGGTGTGATGTGCATCGTGACGAAGTGCGCATCCTGAAGAACAGCGAAGTACGTGGATTTTACGCACAGAGAGAGAGTTGAAACCCTTCCTCCCCCGACTCCCCGCTAACGAATCCCTTTTCATCCCCCGGTACTCGCGCGAGATTGAGCAAGATCGAGAGAGCCGCGTGCCCGCGTTCTCCAAAATCCCCCGTGGTCCAGCTCTCCTCTTCACAGTTCGTGGTGCGCTTCGTGGCAGCTTCTTCTTCGCGCTGATGCCCACGTACAGTCGGTAGCAATAATCACCACGTAACCGCGGTGAGTGCGAGGTGAAGCTAACGGAAGAGACGGGAGAAAAAGAGAGACCGAAGATTCGACGAAGAAGAGAGAAAGGAAAGAACGAAAAGAGATATCGGAGATAAAATACCAAGATGCCGTGCTCCGCAGTGACGCTGTCTCTTGCCACCATAACCGGTATAATCGCCACTGCTCTGCTGGCGATCGCCTTCTCCACGGACAACTGGCTCTACACCGAGGTCAAGCGCGCTCAGATCCAGGTTCGTATCAGGTTTTAATATTGACAGGAACATCCGTCGATCCTGCCTGTCGAGATTTCACTTACTACGTAGTAAGATATATCTCTCAAAAGTAGAAAAACGCGCAATAACATAAATCACTTTGTTTCTTTTTCATTCCATTAAAAAAAATTTTTGGGAGAGAGAGAGGGGGGAAAGGGGAGAAAAGCATCGATGAAGTCAAATAATATATGTATTCGAAGTTCTAATATATTTCTACGCTGAGATATATTTAAGTCTAACAAATCAAATTACATTCGAACTTCAAATATATATATATCGTTTGATCAACGTCTCTTTCTTTTCCAAGTATCCTTTTCTAAAAATGGAAGGAAAAGGGAAAGGAACAAAGTGATTCATGTTATCGCATTCTACCACTTTTAAGAGATTCGGTTGATGCTCTCTAATTCTTAGAGAATTAAAAAAATAGTAAATAAATTAAATCAAGATTAAAGTTATCTTTGTTGAAAATGAAGTGGACATAATTATTGGATGCAAAATTAATTAAACACTAGATTTTAATTATAAAGACTTTATTCTTTAGAAATATCTAAAAATAAGTATCCGAGTAAAAAAGATATTCGTCACACTGCTTTGATAAAAATGCAATCAATTTAATGTATATTTTATTATAAACTTATGGATGCATATAGAATACATTTCTATTGATATTTTTATTTTAAACAAATTCTTTCGCTTCTCCTTATTTTTCTCAAGAAGCATTCGCTGCATTTTCTTTTACGTGATCACGTAATTCTGCATTCCAAAGGGATTGAAAGCGATTTGAAACGTTAGCGTAATCAATTTTTCTAAAGTAATAAAAGCAATCCAAAAAAATGGTATATCGTTCCATCAAGATTTCAAGATTCATTCTTTTCAATTATGTCTTTCCTGTGTTTAAGGGAAGAAAGAACAAGTTTTTTTCTCAAGATAATTCACAGAAAAAATTGTAAAGATAAAAATTGTATAGGATACGGGATATCCTATTGAATTCTTGGATCGAGAAGAGATTTCGACAACGGGTAAATAAAACACGTGACTTTGCCATGAAGCGATCTATGTACGTGCGCTTTGAAGAATCTTTTATGAGAACGCATCACAATGGAAATTGTTCGTTTGCAAGGACTCGCGTTATATTAATGTGCAATTTGAGGCATTGAAAAAAAAATTAAAGTGGATTGCGAAAGCAAATGAGATCTGATGATGGATTTTTCCGATGTTGCGATGAAGCGTTATCAACATCGTTGAAGCTTAATTCAATTTGATTCTTCTCTCCATACTGTAGTCAGTGCTCTCATCTCAGTATAGAATCCTTATGCAAATTCTAAAGAAAGTGCTGCACACGCGGACAGCTCCTGTGCTGAAAGAGCTTCGATTCATTTATGAAAATGGACATCTTCCTGCCCGAAATTGGATCGCATCCGAATCTCGTTATTTCTGGCGACCGAAGCTGTCATCAGCCGCCCGTGCTCGTGAATCTAATTTCTTCTACTTCCTCCGCATCCTTAAGGATGTGAATACGCTACAACAAAAAAAAATTGCGGCACAGCTGTGCTCTTGGGCTTTCGCCAGTCAGTCCTATCCCTTATTTTCAATGATAATTTTGTAGTTTTTGCGTTTGTGCATAGTGACACATAATTGTATCGCACTAATGGGTACAATTTCCGACATCGTTATAATCTCATTTCTGAGCACACAACAGATATTTACCGATCTATAATGAATCAACGGTCCATTATAGTAATTTCTATATAATTATGTGTTATCGTTACTATTATATCGTATTTTCGAGTAATCACAATCCGTTTAAACGATGAACTATATTTAAAATAAACACGTCAGAATATACAATTACTTAAAGTCATTTAAAGATTAAGCTGTTAATTAAATTAATTCAACATTTCATATTAAAAGGTTCACATAGTTTCATTCATTTTTACGATAATTTTCGAAAATTTTCACGATTGCCTAATGGGAAAAGTATAATTAAATAAATTAATGTTAGAAAGCAAATAGAAGCACTCAATGGAAGAAAAAAGCAAGTTCTTATCTCAGGATAATTTATAGAAACAAAGAATTGCGAAGATATGCGCAGCGATATTATCGAATTTTCGCACATAGAAGAAACGACAACGAAATAAAACGCACGACTTCTATCTATAATTTCTTTGCTTTTTCGAAACGTCAGTAATTTTAAGACATTCGTAATTTATTGTTGGAAGGAGGGATATAAAAAACTATTCCACACAACGATTTTGTTAATTGACATATACTACAATCGAATAATTAGAAACAGGGCCACTACAAATAACTATTAATTAGCGAAGCTAGCAAAAAGTAACATTAATTAATGGAAAGATTGCGTAACCTCTATTAGAGGTTTTCCAAGAGAAATTGGCTCTTCCTCAAGAAGGGGAAAATAGGAAGTAGAATTTCCCATCCCGGCTTCCGCCGTCCTTCTTATGGGTGAATGTACGGGTCGAAGGTCAAGTTTACCCTCTAAGGATAGGGTCGTTGAAAGTCGGACGTTGTTCTCACGAGTTCTCCGTGGAATCGAGATGTCAGCGGTAATTAAAAAAATTCTAGCTGAAAAGAATATTAGCGAAGAATGCTCAAGTCTTTAATTAATTCTTTTAAGAAACAAGAAACTTCACTTAACTTGAACATGGTAGATCTTGAATATTAAAGACGACACTAAGAGGTTTACGTTATCTAACTAAATGAAATTGATTCATTGTCTTTTTTATAACAAAAATATCAAGTCAATCAAACACTTTAAATTTAATGTAATTGATCACGTCATTCATTCAATGATTTAAAAAACCATATATCAAAACGATTGACTGATATAATTAACTTTATATTTGTTTAAATAAAGTAATCACACCTCTTTTTCGTATGTTCAAACAATTTTCTTTTCTAGTAATTTTTTGAAACAATAATAAATTTGAGGGTTTTGAACGTTTGCGTTCCTCTCGATTGATTTAGATTTAGATCTTTTGTAGTATTTTCTTTTGCAGCATCACAATTTTTAGTTCTAACATAAGAAACTTTTTAATAGATGATAAATCGATGATTAATGATAAATTTTTAATAAATGATAAATCGATTCGTTGGCGTCGCGAGTTACGCGATTACGCCACGACTTGACGCAAAACGCAGCACGCGAAATATTCCAATGTTGATGTAACTTCCTGTGCAACGCAAAAATCATATCCACGGATGTATGTAAGAATAGGAATTATTAAATAACAGGCACGTGGACATTCTATACGTCATCCTGCATGTAGGTGCCGCCACATCCATTCAGTATGATTATAGTCAGGATTGGAAGTAACTAGTTAAAATGTTAAAAGTTAAAAAAAAAGTTAAAAAGTTAAAAGCTATTATTAACTTAACTTAGTTAATTTTAAATGCATTAAATTTTAACTTAACTAAGTTACTTTTAAACGTTAACTTTTTAACTTTTTTTTAAGTTAAAAAATTTTTTTATCTCTTTTAAATATCTTAGAAAAATAATAAGCTATAATAAGACTAAGGGGGGGGGGGCATATATTCGTAATCTATTCATATTTTAAAACTATCTTAAGTAATTTCTTAAGATAATACAGCCCTCTAATTGGGTTATGCCTTATGCCATAAGCCTTAGTCCGGATCTATAATAGGTGTTTTAAGTTTTAAGCCATAAGAAATTGACCAATAATCAAATATTCGCTTCTCGCATTCGATTATAATTGGTCAATTTCTTATGGCTTAAAACTTATTAAAAAGTAATCACTGATCTTGTATATTCTTTATGTGTTGGTTATTTTTTTAAAGTTATATAACTTATATAGTTATATCGTTATGTGTTATACACTTATTCACATATGAATAAAAAAATTAAAAATTTAATTTACTTATATATAAATAATCTATATTGTAGTTGTTATTTAATCTCATTTTAAGAAAAATTAGGACATTTTGATCTAAAAAATAATTTTTTTCAAAATTAACTTTTTTTTTAACTTAATTCAATATTGATTTAATTTACGTTAATTTTTTATTCTTTCAACTTTTAATTTTAACTTTATTAATTTTGTAAAGCCATTAACTTTAACTTTATTCAGTTAAAAAAAAACATTAACTTACCCAATCTTGATTATAATATACGATTGTACAACGAATTCGTCCGACTGCTTCGCGATTAATGATTTTCAACTCGCAGAGAAGGACTCAACCTGCATGATAATTTTTATTTTTCGTGAAGAAACTCATCATTTGTGCATCTCTTGTCTTTGACGTTATTATCGAGGTCGCTCTAAGCAGCTGAAGCTCGTCACCGATTAATCAGATTATCTCGTTAGCGGAATCTCATTCCTTCTTGCGTTTTTCTCTTTCTCTCGAGCCAAGCTCTCCTCTCCTCTCTTCTCTTCTTCTTTCTTTCTTTCCTGTCTCGATCTCCCATCTCTCGTCCCGTGCCTTCAGAACGATCGACATTCCGAGCCGCGCCCATTCTCAGCGCGTTGACTCAACGAGTTTTGTTTGGTGCACCGATCATGCGGATGCCTGACGCGTATCGGCGTATGTCCTTTTACACGAGAATCGAGAGACGACAGATGAGCTTCCGTTGAATTGGGATTCACACAAGAGAGAGCAAATTCGCGTAAATGGACAATCACGCGCGACTCAAGAATTCGCCCTCATATCTTATTTTCATGAGATGTGATTGACTCCATTTTTTATCTCAAACAATTGCATCAATCAAATTCTCAAAGCTTACGCCATATTCAATCAGTTTCCTATAGTATCAAAATTCTCTTCATTTTTTTAACTTATTTGACATTCTACTGAAATTCCACATGGACTTTTAGGACCTAAGGATCCTATATCTAATAGTTCCTCTTTGTAATCAGCAATTTTATTAAAAATTCAAAATTGGTATTTTATCGAAATCCCATATGGGGCCCTTTTAGGACTTATGAATGTTCCTGGTAGCTAAT